ACATGGCATTATGGTAAGATGGCATAGCTGATCGCACCAAGATCGGACTCCATGCCATACATATAGTGGTTTACTGGGATATAGAACTAATGAACTTCGCACTAAAAGATTACATTTGTTTGAAGTTCAAAATCTCACATATTTTGCTTTATGTAATGAATTGGTTATTATTTTAAATTACATATCTCCTTCCTTATTTTTCTTTCTATATTCTTGTTCCGATTTATGTGATAGAGCTTATGACGCATACGAGTACTTTTTTCGTGGATGCGGGTAGTAACACTATGGATGTTGTGGATTTCACTAGGAACTCCCTCATTTCCTCAATCATTGGTGATCTCTATTTCATGTTCGTGGCACTCTTTTGTTGTTACAGACTTTCAGTATTCTTTTTGATATAGTCAGGGCCTTATCGCTGGTATTTTTTTTTCATATCATCATAGAGGCTCCATAGACACGTGTGGGTTAGATTATGTTTTATCATTTCCTATTGAGGTCTCATATGATATGTATGAATAACTTTATTATTTTATAATTTAATTTTATGAAAGGCAAATGGTTTTAAGAAAAGTTTTATGTTCCTAATTCATGCCTGAGTTATGTAAGGTGATGTCATAATATGTTGGTTCACTAAGTCAAGTTAGTATCAAGTGTCGTGTCTGCTCTCAAGATTGGGGAGGGATAGTAGCATTCTCGAGCCATTCTTTGCTCTCCTTTAATTTTAATAATTTCCCATTTTGAAGGAAATGTAATCACTGGATGTTGTATAGACGGTATTGCTTCCATCGCATGCATCCATAGCCTTCCCATGATGATATTATATGTCATATCTCCAGCTATTATTTTAAATGGTGTATCCTTGATAACCCCTTCTGAAAAGGTGCGCGAGATGATTACCATGCAAGTTGTCTCATTGGAGTTGTTGAACCCAAAAAGGAAAATTGACTTCGGAATGACCTTGTCCGTTAATTATATCTCCTTTATGACCGTGAATGAATAATATTTGCATATCTACTTGGATCAACTAAAACACATTCAACACTAGTACCTAACATGCACAACTTATTACGCCATGGTGGGGAAATAACAGGTCGTCCGAGTTAGGGTCGTCGATGAAAATGTTCTCCGGTGAATGCTTTTGAAATTCACTTCTTGTGTGTGATGGACACCTTAACATACTTCTTTGCGGTTGTATATGTGATCCCATTAACTTTAGATCCATAAAAATGTCATTTATCTTACGTTTAGGTGATGTAGCCGAGGTAGTTCGACATTGTTCCAGCTCTTTGAGTAAGTCTGCTTTCTCTTGTCATTGAGCAATTCTTTGAAATACCTTTGTTCAAGAGGTATGCCTCCTCATCCTACAGGGATTTGAAATCTTTTATTTGCATGTGATCATTGTAAAAGTCGCATCAGAACTCCTGGCTCCTTTTGTTAGGATCTGTCTTATTTTCTTGGGACATCTTACTTTGTCTCCCATGTCTGTCAAAGAACTACTAGATCTGAAGGATTGATACAAAAGTTGTGGTTCACGAGCTTTGGCACATTAGGTTCCTTGCTCGCCCTGAAGGTCTAGCGTTGTCTCTCCGAATAGGTCCCCTATTATCCCGACTAACTTCTTTTCTTATTTTCGACCCTTGTAGAGAGCTCTCCGGGCAAGGCTCATATTGATTTCTTAAAGTCCTATTTTCAGATTCTATTCGTCTTATACACTGGTTGATTGTTATACCTCCATCCTGGCCTTCGTTCAACACTAACTAGTATTGCCTTATACTCTTCTACCCACAACTTAGTCCTGTATCGATTGTACATATCATTTTGGGCTTTTAAATGGGATTTTTGATGACTATTTTTCAACCTGCTAGTAGCCTCTGAACTCTTTTCGTTCATAGTTTTTGCAAAAGTCAAAGCAACCCAATTATTTGGGACCTCTGGAGATATCATTTTTTTCCTCTAAAATTGGTCCATAATATTTCGGAGCAGCTCACAATCTCCTTGGTGGATTTTTAATATATCTTCCATTATTTTTCTACCTTTTATTCACTGATGTGAGCATTAATGAATGCATCATCCAGATCCAAATTAACTTATAAAGTTTTCAGATAAGAGTGAATACCAAGTTAATGCTCTCTTAGTAAGTATTTTTTCGAACTTCTTGACAAGTATAGATTTAATTTCCTATTTTGTGAAGTTGTTTCCCTTGATCCCTATAGTGTAGGTTGTAACATGGCCTCGGGGTTCTGCAATTCTATCATACTTGGTAAGATATAGCATTTTGAATTTTTTTGTGTATGGGCAAAGATGAGCCATTTGGTTTCCATAGTTGTTGGAAATACCTTTCCACATATACTCCTTTAAGAACATGTGGTACCCCTGGAATGGTCATTTTGCTCCTTAATCAATTTCATAAGGGTCTCTTGCAAAGCTGAGATTGAATTCTGAAGTTCTAGTAGTATCGGTACCTTGCTCTGTATTACCGATTCATGCACCCCTGGACCTCAAGTCTCCGGTAGTTCGGAACTCCTTAGTGCGTCATTCGTTATACCTATAGTCAATTATACTCTTGAAAATACATGTGATTCTGTGTTCACACTCCCGATCAAGCAATATTACCGCACTGATCTCTGGTTCCAAACATGTTTAAATTCACCTAAGTCTGGCTAGGCCTTTTTAGTTTCCCCATTTCTGTTTCTTTGAGGTGAAGATTCTCTTAATTGCCGCTGTGAATTCTGATGAGACTCATTTGGAGTCGAACGTTTTGATTGCGATCTGCTTTGAACATCAACTGTGATGTTTCTCTTACAACAAACAAAAAATTAATCAAATGATCAATGATGTTTTGGAATAATCACATAATTGCTTGGTCCCACCAATAAAATATTTAACCTAAAATTTGTTTAAGAGGATATCAATTGAATTTGTATTCTATGCCATAAACAATTAGTTAACCCAATGTTATTGAACTTTTGACAATAAAAGACAAGACAATTATGATAATAAAAAAACAAAATAATGTAAGTATTAAAGAGAAAAAGAAAGAGATTTTTATTGATTTGAGCCAATAGATAATAGGAATGCTAAGGAAGAGAGCACAATAGGCTTGTTATAGTTTCAATATAATAGCGTATATGAAGGTGTATCGAGATGATTTAAATGTTTCCTAATATCACACCAATCTGTTAGGAGTATTACTAGCATATCGCACACCTTACACTTGATGAATTTGTAACTGCAGGGAAATTAATGTAGAATCCCAAATACCTCAAATTTCATTGAGTTCATAATTAAGAGTTGATCATAATTTTAAAAAGAATTTAAGTTATTCAAACTTTTGATCTCAAACTTCAAACACCATAGTCAATTTAAAACACTTCATTCGATGCTTCAATTTTTTATTTTTTTTTTCCTTCAGAAAGGTTGACCAATAGCAGGCCAAAAATAGGGGCGAATGACTATGAAATATGAATATTAAGTGCACGTGTTGGAGTACTTATCCTACCATGTGATCATATTTTATTATTAGGAAAATCCCAACAAATTGACTCCACTTTTTCTTTTTTCCCCTTTTTAATATTTCTTGCCACGCTAATGATGCTTTTGCCCATTTGCCAAACAATGATGGAGCCCAATTCCACTAAAAGAACGAATGGAACCCACCTACCCCCCTCTTTGTATTCTTCCTTGTTGGTGGGGAAATATTTGTTTTCTCTTATTTATTATTTAGGGTTCTTTTAAATTAATTGTCAACCCTGAGTAAATATTAGTCAAAGGTTTTTACAAATTATGTTAAGAATGATGAGCCGTGTTAAGATGGATATGTATACGTTGAACACACATTTTTGGAAAGGTTTCAAAACCAAACATAATCCAAAAGCCTTACCAAAAAATGTGATGGAAATCATGGAATGGTCTTTTGTATTTCAATAGTCTTTTATGGGCAATTATCGTACAAATGTGTCTGGCAAATTTGTAAATGAAACAAATATCATAGAAGATAGAATATATTATCAAATGAAGCAAAAGTTTACAGGCCATTAATTTAGAAGAATGTATCATTATAGGTCAAGATAAAAGTGGTTGTTCTAGTAGTGAGCATCCTTTACTTCCAACATAAAAGTTGCGTCCAACGTAGAGGTTGCGAGCTCGAGTCACCCCAATAGCAAGGTGCGAGTTCTTAGAGGGAGGGAGCCCGATGGTCTATCGGAAACAGTCTCTCTACCCCAGGGTAGAGGTAAGGTCTGCGTACACACTATCCTCCCCAGATCCAATTATGGGATTATATTGGGTTGTTGTTGTTGTATCATTATAGGTCAATTTCTTTTATGTAGTATTGAAAACAACAATTTGACAAAAGCTGATGAGTTAAGCTACAAACTGAAAAAATATCTGAGAGTTAATGTTGTGCAAGATAATCTTACTTTTCTTTTATTTTTTTAACCATATCGAAATGGTGCCCATTTTCTAAACACTTTATATAAACCAAAAACTACAAAGTATGTGCGCAATTGTAACTTTTAAAACATTTTCTTTCTCCTTTACATAAAAATGTGGGGTTGAAAACATAGATGTGTGTGGTATCTTTGTAACTGGGAGTAGGGAGTAGTAGAAAAGGACTTTTAGCAATCTCAATACAAAGCAAAGGTCAAGAAAAAGCAACCCCCAACTCGATCAATTAACATGCATACAGACTACAGAGTCAGCTCAGTCCCCATTCTGATGATGGCCGCTTTGGCCGCCAAACAACACAAAGTCGCAAACTACAAACCAAATCAAAACAAACAACACTTCCTCTGCTCACCTTCTATGACCCTTTCCTTTTAAACCCCCTCTTCTCTATTCTCCTTGGTTTCTGTGCTCACCTATTTATTTTCTCAACTCTCTCTCTTTTGCATTCGGTGAAAAGAAAGAAAAAAGGTAAAGACTTTCTTGTTATTTGTTCCTTTTGCTGTGTAATTTGAAGAAGAGAAAAGGGTGTCTTTAAGTCTTGATTTCTTATAAAAATGGGAAGCAAATGGGCTAAAGTGAAGCTGGCTTTAGGTTTGAATCTTTGTACTTATATTCCAAGAACACTTGATAATGATGATGATGATGAGGATAGTTCTTCCTCTGTTTCTGATCCTGAGAAGAACTCCGGCGCCGCCCTTATCTCGCCGGCGACGGCTGACATTCAACTTGCTCCTCCGGCCACGGTGCCTCATGGGTCGAAGTTGTCCAAGAGCTTTAGTAGATCTTCTAAGGTATATCTTTGTTTTTAAAGCTTTTAGTAAGTTTTGGAATTCTAGTATTTGGTTGGTGAGTAATACATGAATTCTTAAAATGGAACTTTTTTGGGTTTCAATCAGTATGCAGATGTGCTTGGTAGGTAAGAAAATTTTGAAAGTGATGTGTAATATTGGAAATTAATTTGTTTTGGAACTGAGTAAAGAAGATATCTTATCAATCTTGTAGCAGTAGTTTTTATGCTTTTCTTTAAGATTTTTGGCATTCATTTTTTGTTTCTTTTCTCCTCTCAATTTGGTTGGAGTTAATTTTGCTTCTCTATTCTTCTATTTATGTCATAGGGTGTTGATTGTCAATATAATGTTGCAATCCCCTATTTTCCTTTGGTGGATTTTGATTACCTGTTGTCTACCTTCATGGTACCCAAGTACTTAATCTGACAAAAGAACAGAAGAAATGAAATGGTAATACTAGATAGTTTTAAAAGTCTACCATATTGTTGTTTTGTGTTTGTTATATTTGACTGCAAAAATGTTGATGCTTCCCCCTTTAGTTAATTGAAAAAGAGCATAGTCGTCATTGTATGTACAATTTGAACTCTTTTTTCAGTCTTTTAGCATATTGATTTAGGCGTCTTCTGTTGCCAAATCACTCACATGACAAGTCTATTCAATTTTCTTGTGTTTACTTCATAACTTTTCAAGTAGAGAAAAGTGAAGAGATCGACTATTTTGAGCTCTTGCATGTGATTTGTTCGTAAAAGCCCCTTTTGCAAGCACATGACTCGTTATACTATCTCATAGATTTTCTTTTTAATAACTCGGAAAGAAAGGTGGTCGTTCAGCAGCTTGCTTGTTAAATATCTGAAATAACATATGCATATTTTTCCCATTTGGCCATGTTGGCGATCAGCTTCCATCCTTTATTTACAATTTATGATTTCTCAAAATTATAAAATGAACGCGTCCAAGATAAGGCCTGCTTTTGCTATATGGGTCCTTTTCAGGATCTTTGTTATTTTCTTTCACTAATAGAGACATTTTACATATCTTGGACAATTCGAAAGGTGGATTTTTCTGCAACTTTCTTTGTAGACTCTTCATCTTAAAGATTACATATTTATCCCAACCAAGAAAAGAAAGTTGTCCGCATGAACTCTTTTTTTTTCCCTTATCTTATTGACTCCTGTGTATTTTACTTCTGGGATTGCCATTCTATTTTCTCTTGATCAAATTGCCTTGAGAACTTTCTTGGTGTCCGAAGTTGATTCTATTTTGCATCCTGGTCTGCTTTACCAATTCAATAACAATTCTTCTGTTGTGTTTCTCTTTAGCACAGTTTG